ATTTTGTTTATTATTTTGATTAAAGGAAAATAAAACATCTCTTGAGGGAGGTCTTCTGAGACCAGAGTCAAAGACAGGTGGAACTGTTTATTCCCCCCTCGGGGTGACCACTACACTATTAAAAAACAAAACTATTTTGTAGCTGTAACTGAAAAGTGGTCAATGTTGCGTTAAAAATAATACAAGTTATTCACGTTTGTGGTTATTATTATGTGTTTACATTCTTGAAGAGACTTCTGCGTTAGCATAGCTTTCCTGGTTCATTACTACTGTTTCGAGCAGCGCAGTCAAGCTAGGACGCAGGAACATAGGTGGCGCTTTTTTAAATATGTAATTCTGTGAAATATTCTGTGAAAAACAACTATTATGTTCTCTGAAATTACCTTCAACTGTCCCGCCATGGACGCTGTTTGGCATTTGAAAGGACATTAAACGAGCACTTCCTGGACGTGGTTACGCAAGCTCTCGCGCTTTCTCGCATCATCTCGCGATACTTCAGTTTGTTAGACCATCAAATTTAGAAAGTTATTTTTTTTTTCTTCGAAAGGTTAGAGGACAGCAGGAAATAATGATGACATTAAAGGTAACAAATTGCTTATTTTTATGGTGAACCCAAAAAAAAAATAGTTAAATGTTAAATCCATGTTATATAATAAGTTACTGTTTAGGCAAACTTGAGTTACCTTGAGTGACATCAAGAAACTCCTTCACTTTGCATCTTGTTTGTGTGGCTGCTCTAATTTTCCTAAGGTACCAGCAGCATATGCAGAGTTTTGTTRTTTGTTTGTTTTCTGGAGGAAGTTCTATCATTTTCTAATGACAAGCTGCAGTTTTCTTGCTCAGTTGGAGGTCCAGGCACAGCTCCAGCAGCTTCAGCCCATCAGCACTGCTTCTCAACAATGGATCTATCACTTCAAACCTTTATCTTTGTGTGGATTACAGCTGGATGTCTGTCACAACCTGAGAACTCWGAGACTAACCTGCCAGTGCAATGTGATTTTGTTTCCAAAAATGTCTGTCTGGAGTTTGTTGGGGAGTCAAAAACCTGGTACCAGGCCAACAGCAGCTGTGAAGAGAAAGGAGGGAAACTTCTGAAAGTTATAAACAACTCAGTAAAAATCTACCTGAGCAACATCACCAGAGAAAATAAAACCAGCAACCTCACATGGTGGATTGGAGAAAAGATATCAGTTCATCATCAAAGACCTCCACTAAGTGAGTAAATGGACTTTTTTGTAGTTTATAATGATAATTTAGGTAAAAAAAAATGTGATTGTCATTTATTATAGACCAAATTAAAAGAGTTGTTACATGTAAAGAAGAAAAATAAGACATTTTAGGATGTTAAGTAATTGACTAACTAAATACATTGTTTATAAAAACTAATAAAAGAGGCTGTTTTGTAAATATGTAAAATTATCTCTTGAACCAGAGAGACTAGTCTTTTTGTTTTTCTGTAAGGAAAATAAGATGTTTTCTTCGCAATAAACCCTAAGTATTTAGATGATGCTTGTGTACGTATTAAATTTGCTGAACCAAAAGCAAACAGTCCTGATGCCTAACTTGTGCACAAATATTTTCTTTAAAAACAGAAAATGACAATGTTTCAATGGAGCTCTGCACGTTTATCCAGTTAAATCCTCTCCAGATTTTTACATCTAACTGCAGCATGAAACGGGCCTTTCTCTGCAGCCACAGTATGTAAAAACTCCAAATAATTCTTGGTTCATCTCTTCCTTATTTTTTTTCCTCGTACTTYGATTACAAATAAAATATATTACCTTTGTGATCTTACATTTTACATTATGTATTGCTTTTAGTTAAAAGTGCTATTCTTGTTTTAGGAGCTTTAAAGTCTCCATCAGGAACAAAGGTAAGAGATAAATCTAACTTTTTTTAGGTATAAGTGGGAAAATTAAAGCTTAATATCTTTGTTTTGTCTGTATTTATCTAAATTAGCAACACAAAGTCACAAATTGAAACTGTAAAATGTGGTCTTCCTTAAGGGTCAGTTTTGGGACCAACATTTTTTATATTTTATTCAAATGATTGTTTTACAATGTTTTGAAATTTATAATGTTTGCAGATGATTCAAACTTTTTTTCTGGAAAGAACTTGGACAAACTAATAC